TAATGACGTCACACCAGCAAGCAGGAGATGAACTTTGCTGAAGGTCACGATCAGGCACGAAGATCCAATCGAACACTAGAAAACATTCGGGGTTCTGAGATATGCTATTTTAGTCGTAAGGGTATCACATTTGTTAGTAAAGGGACTTATCAGCTGACACAGCTACGTTAGATAAGCTGCTTTATAACCACGGGTGAATTACATTCCAAACCTCTACGGTAAATGTCTCTGCCAAACGATGGTATCGGGAATAAAGAAATGAAAACCGGAGTAAGAAGAAATGGATCAAGAACTGACATTAGTGCACTCGGGACACTTGCCTGCTCCGCCCGTTTCTTCAGTTACCAACCAAGAGATTTGACGTCTGAACAATGGATCAACTTCATGGCACACGGGTAGTAACCTATAAGTGCTCCGTTTAAGTCTGAGTCCGAAGTCGCTCAGCGCGGTGAACGGGCTCTGTAGCACCAGCGAGGATCCTGAAATATTTCGGGTTGATTTTCACCTTAAAATTTTGCCCTGGCAGCGCCGTAGGCTACTCTTTTCGATTTCCAACTGCCAATGGAGTTTTGTACGAGCGCAACAATACACACGGGTGCCCGATCTCATTAGCCAGAGACCAGGGGAAATTACTAGAAGTACACGTAAAAAAAAATCCCAGCTCTCACCGGGGTCTGAACCCGGGACCTCTAGCACACGAGGCGGACACCGTACCTCGAAACCAGGCAGCCCCCTTGCCAATGAAGAGTCGACATGCTAGAAGTACCAACTGCAACATGTTTTCTCCACTCAGAGTTGAATATCTTCAAGAGCCTCTACTCAACCACTGACCCACCCCGCCTTTCAATGCGGAAGAATGTTCTGTCTTGAGTATCGTTTATTTTATACATTAGAGTCCTATGTAGTCACTTCATAGTTAGAGCCTATTTGTGTATGTGTACTGTGTTGTCCTTTATGTGCTGATGAAGGCTAATCGCCGCAACGTCCTTTGTTTGTTTATTGTGATCGATTTTGTAAAGCTAACATAAACTAATTGTTGTTTCTTACCAACTTTTTCTCTTCCCTATAATTTTCTACTCCTTATAAAAACTGTCTATTCTACTGCACTGTCCCCGCTTTGTCCTAAAGTAGCTCACTGCCCAGAGGAGCGACAACAGCTAATCGGGAGTAAGAACAGACGATAAGTGGTGACACAGGAATCATGTTTAAAGAAACAGATACATTTCTACACAACTTCCGTTTACAGGTTTTAAAAGGCGAAAAGTCCAGAGGATCTACTAGCTGAACATGGTTCTGATCCCACATAATCCGGTCTCTGGCTGCAGAACGTTAGCCGCCTGCCCAGAGCGTCACAAGGCGCCGGACAAATAAACCCATGTGCTTAATCGGGCACCGAGAAGTAAACAGCTTGCACACATGCACAGACACTTCACTGAGATTAGATTCGACCCTGTCGCCTCCCAAATAACTACAGCGTCTCGACGTCAAACGGGAAAGCACCCATGCCTCCAAGCATACGCTTTGGCCACACGTAGAATATAACCGCCTCAGCAATTTCCTACTTTATATTGGAAAAAAGGGGGGGGGGGGGGAGGGCGGCTAGTGTATCCCTTTCTTGTCTACTTATTTCATTTACTTCTATCAGAAAAGTAAGTAACGGGGCATACACGGCTAGGTTTATGTTTCACACAGCTATCAGCATTCGCTGGATGAGGTGGTCAACATCACACCGGACGCCTTTACTTCCCAGGACTTTATCTGGTACCCATTTAAGGCCAGGGGTAGCCCTTGTGGTCTAGCGGCTAGACGCTTGCCTGCGGATCGGAAGATCGTGGGTTCGGGTCCTGACACAGGCCAGTCTTTTTTCCCAAAATAACCCTGGCATCCAGGTCGACCCAGCCTGGAGTGGGCAACAGGTACAGTCCTGTGAAGTAAAGGCGGTCGGTGTGACGCTGACCACATCACCTACCAACTGCTGTTTGGTCTATACAATATAGGTCTGGCCCTATATACCCATTACGCTTGAAGGCGTGGAATAGGGTCTTTTACTTTTACATTCAAGGTCAGGTCGATCTGCGAGCCAAGGTCATTTTTGAAGAAGGAGGGGAAAAAAAAGGGGGGGGGGGCGGGTTTTACACCAGAGCACTTCTATTGCATCCATCAGCACCAATCAAAGACGTCTGCGTGTATTTCTCATGCTGTTCAGTGGTCTCAGAGGTTCCTCAAGCAACTAATCCTCACCATATGGATTGTCAATCAATGCCCATTTACATATGTAAATAATATTTAGAAAACACAAACACAGCACTAAACTGTTGCTGGTGCTAGAGAAGCTGTGCCCATCTAATCTCTCCAAAATAATGGTTTACAACGTCTACAGCAGGTCGGAAGAGGGGCGACCGCCATGTCCACACAAGCAGGCAACAGACGTACAGCAGCAACATGACAACATCTGTCCTCGCGTCAGCCCACCAACCGTGAAAGGTCGTAAACAAATTCTGAAAGCCTGCGAATTGTCACTCACCCTACACTTTTGCACCGGCGTTAGGGGGGAACAACACGTTATGGTAAATAGGCAGGATGACCATAGGTTTCGTTGAAGCAATGGAATTTTTGTAGTTGTTGCTGAGTACGGTCTGGGGCTACCTAAAAACGATACTGTCTGACGATATGGTCACCCTATAAATAAAAAGTCAAGATCCCTTTTTTAGGCATTAGGCGCATCGGGAAAAGCACCTATATTTATACAGACCAATCGGCACTAGGTGGGTAATGTGGTCAGCATTACGTCGGTCGTCTTTACTTTCCCAGGACATCCATCATGGTACACATTTTATGCTGGGTCGACCTGCGAAGCCTCATACAACACGATACAAATCCACGCGGCCAGTAGTGGGTTTTGATCGTGGTACGTTGGAATGACAAAGCAATAAGGTCTGCTGTGTTTGTAAATTGTTGCTGTGTACGTTATTCGACCTATGCTTCGTTAATATAAATTTCTGTAAACTATGGTGGCATTTCAGTGGTTTGAGATTAATTCTGTCAGTATTCCGTAGTTGTGGATTTCAAGCTGTACGATAGACATGCCAATGTGGAAACTTTTTTTTTTTGCGGTGGGGGGGGGGGGGGGGGGGGGAAGGGGGGGGCTATTTGGTTATGTTCTTATTTCGCTTGTTTCCATAGCGAGGCGCACACGCCATTTTGAGGTGACAGGTTCGATTCCCGGCATGGTAACTAGAGCTTTCGATTTTTATGTTGTCTAGTGTGTTCTTCTATATATCTACTTTTTTTTAAATGAGTGCCAGTCAACACGTTGTCTCTTTATCAATTATATATCTATCGAATTACGAGTAGCACTCGCAACGCCTAAGCCACGGATGCCGCCGCACCCTATAAATAGGTCATGGTATTTTCAATGAACAGAGACATCTGTATTCGTGTTTTGTTGATTACACTAAAGATTTGATAACATGAAATATGAAGAAATCGTTGGAATTTTAGAAACCTTAGACATTGATGGTTAAGAACTGAGGTGAAAAAAATGTATATATACTGTCGAAACCAGCCAGCCATAAGAATTGACAAGCTTTTCAAAAACAATAAACAAGGCGTTATCCTTCTGTGGGTTCCGGGGGTGAGGGAGGAGGGCAGTACAGACCCATGGTGCCTCTAACTACCATGTTGTAAAAGCTGACTAATTAGAAGTGTTTCCTTCGAAGTCAGAGAGCATCTGCCTGAGGGGCAAGGAACGAGCTGTAAATAAGAGAGATCTGTCAAATCGATGTGCAGGCAAAACCCAAGTTCTGTAACAAGACTCAAGTCTGAAAACAGACACAATGAGACAGAAACATTCTCAACAATTATTAGTCAAGTTTCGTCTTCTTATATCAATGCTCCCGTGGCACTGGTTGTCACGTCTGTCTCAGTCCTATGTCTAGTGAACCTGCTATAAATTCCCTATCCCATGAGGTTTATGGTTTTACACAAGAATACTTAAAATACAATGGACAGCCAACAAAAAGAGCAGCCAAGAGGTTTTGAAAGAGGCAGGAGTCCGAAGACAACTTATCACAGACATCAGAAGGAGACAGTCATCATTTTTCGGCCATGTTTTGAGAATAGGGAAAATAGAACATGCTGTGACCACTACAAAGATTTGTGGAAGGAGGGATAGAGGAAAACAACGAGAGAAGATTATTAACAGCACACGAACTGATACATGCTGCAGGAGTTTGCAGATTGTGGAGATGCATGATCGGCGACACCAGTCGGTGAGGCACCTGATGATGATGATCATCCCATGAGGGTTGTGTGGCCCCAACTTTTCCTGGACAAACCACACACAAAACCCACTGCCTCTTAGCAAGATGTTGCAAAATGTAACTAATTAGGGCTTGCTGAAATCAAATGCTTCACTGGGCGGCGGGGAGAAGGGGGAGGCTGAAGCTTAAAAAGAAATCTTATTGCTGGGTCAAAAGGTGCAGATATCACAGTCAGGCTGTAAACCACAACACCATGTGCCAACCACAATGTTAATGTTTTCAAACATGACCTCGACGTCTATGATCTTAAATGGGTACCAGGTTAAACCCCGGAGAGATTGGCCAGCATGACGCTGACTGTATCACCCGCTGAGTGCCGACTGGACCATAAAATTTATGTCTAGCCCTATATGCCCAATACACCTGAAGGCGTGGAAAAAAGGCTCTTGATTTACCATGTTAACAGCAAACTTGTATGAAGAAGAAGAAATCTGATACAAATGATCTTCCATGCCATGATGCCAACTATCCTTTTTTTTTTTTATGGTCTCCCGCTTTCTGTTCCCCTTCTCTCCCTTTCTAGCTTTCCCTTCTCTCCCTTTCTCTCTTCCCCTTCTCCCCCATTATCTCTTACCCTTCCTATCTTCCCCTTTTCTCTATTCCCCTGTCCTATTCATGCTTATAAATAAAGTTACTTTTTTCAGAAACACAGACATACACCTCCATGCAACTACTTACCCTGGTTTCATAAACACCCTGGCAAAATGCAGCTTTGCCTTCAGGTCATCCACAAGCACCTGCTTCAGGTAGTCCTTGTCTCCCATCGACACCCCCCCTGTGGTAACTATGATATCTACACGGTCCAGGGCATCTGTGAAACTCTGCAGAAGAGCATCTGGTCTGCAAGGAAATCAACAAAGTGAGAGATCAGTGGGAAATTCTGTAGAAAAAGCATTAGGTCTGCAAGCAGATCAACAAAGTGAGAGATCAGCGTGAAACTCTGAATAAAAGGCATCAGGTCTGCAAGTAGATTAACAAAGTGAGAGATCAGCGTGAAACTCTGAATAAAAGGCATCAGGTCTGCAAGTAGATTAACAAAGTGAGAGATCAGCGTGAAACTCTGAATAAAAGGCATCAGGTCTGCAAGTAGATTAACAAAGTGAGAGATCAGCGTGAAACTCTGAATAAAAGGCATCAGGTCTGCAAGTAGATTAACAAAGTGAGAGATCAGCGTGAAACTCTGAATAAAATGGCATCAGGTCTGCAAGGAGATCAACAAAGTGAGAGATCAGTGTGAAACTCTGAATAAAATGGCATCAGGTCTGCAAGGAGATCAACAAAGTGAGAGATCAGTGTGAAACTCTGAATAAAATGGCATCAGGTCTGCAAGGAGATCAACAAAGTGAGAGATCAGCGTGAAACTCTGAATAAAAGGCATCAGGTCTGCAAGTATATTAACAAAGTGAGAGGTCAGTGTGAAACTCTGAATAAAAGGCATCAGGTCTGCAAGGAGCTCAACAAAGTGAGAGGTCAGCGTTAAACTCTGAATAAAAGGCATCAGGTCTGCAAGGAGATCAACAAAGTGAGAGATCAGTGTGAAACTCTGAATAAAATGGCATCAGGTCTGCAAGTATATTAACAAAGTGAGAGATCAGTGTGAAACTCTGAATAAAATGGCATCAGGTCTGCAAGTATATTAACAAAGTGAGAGATCAGTGTGAAACTCTGAATAAAATGGCATCAGGTCTGCAAGTATATTGACAAAGTGAGAGATCAGTGTGAAACTCTGAATAAAAAGGCATCAGGTCTGCAAGTAGATTAACAAAGTGAGAGTGAAAATAAGGGATCCTTTTTTTCCATGCTATTGGTAAAGTAAGTAAAGTAATGGACCCGTTTTGATGCCTTCAAGCCTACTAGGCATATAGGGTCAGACCTATATTTTATAGACCAACCAACTTGTGATGTAGTCAACATAATGCCGACTACCTTTACTTCCCATGACTTTACCTGGTAGCCTTTTATGGCTGGGTCGACCTGGGTGTCAAGGCCATTTTTTGAAAGAAGTCCGGATCTGTCAGGACCTGAACACACAACTTCCGGATCTGTCAGGACCTGAACACACAACTTCCAGATCTGCAGGTGAGCATATTGTGTATATGGGTCAGACAGATATTTTGATACACAAAATTGATACCTGACTGGTGATATGGCCAACATCATGTTTGCCACCTTTTCTTTCAAAGACATTTTCCCGAACCCACTTTTGATGAGTTAACCAGGGAATTCTTGATTAATTTCTTCTTTATCATCTAAATTCATCTGAAGACGTAAATGCATTGTGCCCGTTTACGACATGGCTGTGATATCGGTGCCTTTCGGCCGACACATCCGATTTCTGCAGGCATTTGTTGTCCACGTCGGTTTTCCGGTTAAGTTTCATGGGACAGTGCAGTCTTACTGTTGTTTCGTAGTTTACAGGTAGAGAAAAAAGGATTCTTTTCCACACCTTCAGGCGTACTGGGCATACGGGGCTAGACCTATACATTATAAACCAAACAGTACTTGGCGAGTAATATGGTCAACATCACACCAGAGTTCACAGGTGGTGAGTCAATGTTAACAGGGAGGTCAAGGCAAGAAGATCAACTTCACTGTACAAGGTATTATCCCATATGGCTCAGTCTCTCTCTCTACAGAGCAGCTTGTCACCCTTGAGAAAGCTGCTCAAAGCTGGAACTCTGTAACTCTTAGGAATATCTGAAACACCTGCACTCACTATCGACAAGTATACATGCAAAATCCAACCCACAACTTAATAGCAAATAGGCAAATGGTTTAAATATTCTGCAATGGAAACCCTTAGAATTTTTACAATATGCCAACATACTACCACCAGAAGAGAGAGAAGGACACACATACACAAAGGGGAAGATATACATAATATATATATATAATAAGAGGATTTGTTTGCCATTTTTGATATATGCTGAGTAGTTTTTATTTGGGAGCTAAGGTAGACAAAGAATATCTTCTGATGCCCAGCAGTCTGTGGTAATTTATTTTTTTTTTTAAATTAAATATCAGATGAAAATAAAACTGGTGTTCTGCTAAACTAAAAAACCTGTCTCTAGATAGATTGAAAAACGGATTGCCAAGCCATAATTTCTTTATGTTTAGTGATAAGTATCGATAGCTACAAAAAATAACATCTATACATGGCCATTAAATGTATATAAAACAGTTCAAAGCTTCAGGAGAAGCAAAGACGGTAAAAACAAGAAAAACTTTAAAAATAACAAAGATTGAAACTACAACAAATGTCAAAGAAATAATGCGACAAAAATTTCCCAAAATAATTAAATATACCCCCACACAGTATGTTTTGGAATGAAAATATGAAAAAAGTCAACTCCATTTAAAAAAAAAAAAAAAAACAGAATCCAATATGACCAATGAGATTACATATTTATTTTTAAAATTAAGAAGCGTTTTTTTCTGTGAATATATTTCACAATATTTGAAACTATTTCTGCCACTTGTTTTTATCTGGATTAATTTTATTTTTACTGGGAGCTTCCTGTTAAATCGCTGGCTGCTATTTATAACAAAGATTTTTCTTTTTACAATTAGCATAATATCACAGATTGTCGCGCACATAATTAGGAAATTGTTTCACGCACACAGTATCAAGCAAATAGCCAGGAAGTTGTTGGGCTCTTTTTTATTATACTATACACTATTCTTAATTCTTTGTCCCATTACTTTTAAAGCTGCTGAAGCCAGATGTCTTTAGCATCTTCAAGCCAGACTTAACAAACAAAACGTCAGACAAAGAACACATGACATATGATTAGGATTCAAGGGTTAAGGGCCAAAACCTCATATGTGTTACCTAGAAGTGAAAGAGTTAAGTTAAATCTGAACAGAAAGAGCTGAATATGTACTTATTAACGGCTTCTGTACGCATCGCCCCCAAAATAATTCCACCCAAATACATTTCAAAGTAAACCATACTTAAATTCAAAATCCACCATAATTTAATGACGACCAAATGAAGAACGACTTCTACAGTTACACTTACTTATCTCTGGCAATGCCCAGGTCCACAAAGGGAACACCGACCTCCTTCATCTGTGCCAGCAGAGCTGTTCTATTACTGTCCCTAATCTTTCCCGCTGTGAGAGCTGCATCAGGCTCAGCCAGCTAGCAAGGGAGACAGGAAGTGTGAGCGATAAAATAACAGTGTGTAACTGCAATAAACAATAATATGAGCATAGGTTCACTCGATAATGTCAGGATACAGAGGCGTGGAACTACCTATGGCAATGCAACTAGACCAGGGTTCATACTGGACATAGACCTACCGACACTTCTTCAAGGTTATACCAGAAATTGGTTCCTAACTGGGAGCCTGGTCAACGCTGATAGGATATCGGATCAACATTTTCTCTTAAGTTGGAATTTATCTACTTGAGAGAATAAGATCTGTAACACAGATGTGCACATAACGTTCAAGTCCTGGAACATGACCAAAGTCCAGAAGTGGACAAACAAACAGGACTTTCTGCTGGAGTTTACAGCCGGTCAACATGAAGCGGCAGCAGCAGAAAAAGAAGATGAAGATAAAGAAGAAGAAGAGGAGGAAGAGGACATGGACGAAGAAGAAGATGGAGAAAAAAGAGAAGACAGAGAAGAAGAAGAAGTAAAAAGGAGGAGGAGAAGAAGGAGAAGGAGAAGCTGCTGTCTGGTGTAAAAGGCCATAAATGGAACCAAGTATGGAACAACTAGAAGTGGTCAAAGTGTTGTGCAGCCTTGTGCCATAGGACCGCTACAAAAACGACATCTCTGGTCACTCCGAAACATTTGGGCCAAAGGGTTTCTGGTGAAGTTGCTACAGGCCTAGCAAGACGGCAATGGATTTATTATTGCTACATGCGATATAATGAGATACCAATGGACAGATCAAACAGTATTCAACCATGGTAATTTTTAAGGGACTACAAAAGATAACCTCAGAGAAACATCAGAGAAGATGGTGAATAATGTTTCTAGGTGGAAGTCAATCACCCAATATTCCTTGGTGAAACCTCACTTTAAGATGTGGAGTTAAACAATTCATCAGGCAATAATGTAGATACAGATGGGCAAACAGACAGAAAAAAAACAATATGAATACAAAAGACAAGAATAGTTTTCATAGCCTTGTAACATTTGTGTGAGTCAAAAGAAACTAAAGCTAGTATGAAACTTAAAATATTTAGCTCTGATATCATATCAGTACTGTGGCAGAGAGCTGAAACATGAAGAACAAATAAAACAATTATTAATTACCTGTAAACACTGATAAACTGGTGACTGCATACAGCAGAAGGAATTAAAATGGAATGACAGAATCCCTAAAGCAAAGCTCTGGGAGAAAGCTAAACAAATTCCAGTCAATGAAGACGTGGTGTAAAGAAGGTTGCATTGAAAAAGACATACACTGAAAAAACTTGATTAAGAGAGGGCTGTCTAAAAAAAAAAAAATAATAACAGAACACTATTCTTCTTTGGTACATGTCAAAAGTGGAACAGGTATCTTTAAACTATCATCATAGCATCACTTTGTTTGACCTGCACTGTGATGTCATGTGCTTAACACTCTTGTCATCTTTGAGAACAACACTGACAGGTTACAAGACAATGGCACGGTAATTGTAATTTCTATCACACTTTAAAGTTAGCATTTGAAGCCTCTTCATAGTAACATAGAATATCCTTGCAATGAAACCCACAGTTATAAAAATAAAAAAAAACAGCAGACCAAATAACACAGAAAAAGGATTTAGAGAGTAAAGTGAAACAGATATGGATGGGTCGGACAGGACCGGATTTAGACTTGAGGCCCTAAACTATACATAGCCCTGAGGCCCGTATTGTTTCAAATTACACCAGCTAATTTCAGAAAACCTTAATATATATATATATGGCTTTTAAATATATGTTTAGTAAAAGAAAAAATAAATGTGTCTGAAAATCACATAAAATATATTATATAATTCTCTTAAAGACTTTAAAAAAAATTTCATTAGTGATTTTTAAAAAAAAAGAATTTTGCTGAGGCCCATTCAGAATGTGAGGCCCTAAGCTGTAGCTTGATTACTTATGCCTAAATCCAGCACGGAGTGGGAGGGGGATCAGGTAAGCTACAGGCTTAAGCAAAGGGCAGGAAACCTTGATGTAAGTTGCTTGAGGCCTATACTCTACTGGAGGATGAAAGGCAGAAGCAGACAATAAAAAATAAAAGTCCAATTCAAACTCCACTGACCTCATTGCCTGTAGACATGACCCCTACAGTTGGTTGAGCATAACACTTGACCACCGTGACCCCTGCTGCTGCTAACAGCCCAAGCTCTGCTGGTCCCAGTCTTTGATGGGCACAAAGGATTTCCTGACCCTGTTCTATATCAGATCCCACAGGCCTGGCCAGAAGATAAATATGACTGACAACAAATAGGGAATACAAGTGACTCGATAATGACAGGACTAGAACGCATAACCTCTAATACCACCCCATCACTGGGATGATAGCAAAGGTTGGTAACGTGATACACATAGTCCCGGCAAAAAGCCACGCTAGAATCCAGCAAGACGGCAACGACGAGAATTGACTGAATGGCGTCCCGCTCCCCTTCCCCCCACCTTTCCCTAAATCTTTCGGATGCACTATGAGTTTAACCCCTCAACCCATTCCCACAGAGAGCACTTGAGTTCGTTGCCCAACATGCCACAACAATTCTAATCGCCGATCATTTGGATCTCAAAGCGTGAGCTGGACGGTCCGGTTATATGGTATTTACGTACACCGGAGCTTAGCTATCAACACAACCCGATCACATAATAACAAATGACTACTGGACCCGCTTAAGACTCCACACAAACTCTCACACACATATCCATTACATGACTAACCCGTTCATATTACAGGAAGACAACTATAAGACCACTATGGTCACACGCGGAAATTTTCACATTTCGGAACTATTCATATTCAAAAACTGTTTTCAGTACTTTTTGGCAAAATTAAAATATTCAAAATTTTAAAACAATAAATGGTGGCCGAAAGGTCGTTGTGTTTGGAAGCTCGCTCTCCTTCGAGATACGCCTAGCCAGATCAAAGGGAGACAGAACAAACAGGAAACACCAAGAATGAAGAAGGAAGACATGCACCAGTGACAACAGGACGAGCGGATTGATTCGGATGGAAGCATTAAGCCAGAAATGGCACAAATACCAGCATTCAGTCACGAAAGTGACGCAAATAAACCAGACCACAAATATAGGCGGAGACTGTTAGCAGCCTAGGCTAGCTAGCAGCAGTCTGAACGTGGTCAAGCTTTTCTTTTTTTTTTTTTTTTTTTTTCTCAAAAGGACTTGGACTTGGCCAGAAGATAAATAGTGACATCAAGTAAAATGTACCTCCCCCCCAAAAAAAATTGTATATGGTTGTTAAAGAAAACATGGGGGTCTTGTCTTGTCTGGTCTTGTCTTGTCCACAATTGCCTCACAGCGTAGTGGGGAGTCGCAGTTTTCTATCCTGGGCCAGGTGTGTTGCACGTGTTGTTGTTAGTCCGTGTTCCCTCAGGATCTCTGATATATTGTCTATCCATCGTATTCTCGGTCTGCCTCTTGCTCTAGGGCAGTAGTGCTGTTCGTTGTATGCTCGTAGAGGCAGTTGGTCGGTTTGCATTCGCATCAAGTGGCCAAACCACTCTATTTGTTGCTTCTTTATGTATTGCAGGCATGGTGTGGTTCCTACAATTGATCTAATGTTCTCGTTTCGAACTCTGTCTCTCCTTGTGACATTGGCAGCCTTACGTAAGCATCTCATTTCGCACGTCGTGATCTTTTTCTCCTGTGCTCTTGTTAGGGACCAGGTTTGGCATTGGTAGCAGAGGGTTGGTATAAACATGCAATTTATCAGTTGTCGCTTTAGTGTCATAGTGATGCTTGGGTGTTTTAGCAGTGGGGAGAGTTGGTAAGTTACTGCGTTCGCCTTTTGACATCTTGCCTCTAGTTCCCTATCAATTCTTTCATCAAATCTTCACATGGGGTTATGAGCCGAAATGCTTTAAAAATAAAGACTCTTAGAATATCAACGACAAGGAAGAAAAGTAAAAATGATATTCTAAACGATCCGAAAATTTAAGGAGATTGGCTAATATATCCATGCACTTTGTCATGGAAACTGAAATATTTTGACGTAGCAAGTGCCATGGAGGATTGGAAAAAATAACAGAAGGTAGGGTGCCAGAACAGAGGGTCAGGGGCTGACCAGCATAAAGACGGGCACAAGATATAAAAGTTCCTTGGGTACGAAAGTGGGAGAGCTGGTGAGAGGCTGAGTTTCTTTCAGGCAGACTGTGATGGGAGTAACATTCTGCAAAGTACCTGCTACAGGTAGATTGTTATCTGTCAAGACTTAAATAAATGGGTTTTTTTTTGTTTGGTTAACAGCTTTATGTAGGTGTTCACTGTTAACAAACATACACACAGTCCGGTCATTAAATATGACTGATTTTATGATGGTCAAGACTAAACCCACATGCATGAAGCAAAGTGAGTCATTCAGATAAGGAAGATTCATCTATGATCTGACAAAACTCTAACGCCACCTGCCTGATCAGCAGACAACAAGTAACCTCCTATTTTGATTAGCTAGTGACAGTTGCTTGGTTAAGTTTGCTGCATGCAGCAGGGAGTCAATGTCAAACTGTGTCTTCATTTAGGAAATGTACTCCTGACACAGTTAATTTGATGAGACAAGTTTCTATGAACCATTGTTTCCCAAATTCGACAACAAATTCATGTGCCATCATCCCCAGAGTCAGACACTAATCTCTATGTATCTGTTCTCTATTGGTTTATAAGTTTATCACTGCCAGAAGAAAATCTAGCTTCTTCTTGAAACTTGTCCACACCACAAGTGCTCTAGATAAACACTGATCCCCATAGGCTAATAATAAAGGTAAGGATGATAGTGAAGTTGATAATGAGTATGAGAGTGATGGCGTTAAAGTATGATGATAGTGAGGGTGGTGATGATAATATAATAATGATGATAAACTATCACTATCCTTAACATACTTCAATGCAGTCTGAGTTAGAACAAAAATGTAAAATTGTCTACAATCGTTGGTAAGAAAAACAGATGCTGAGGTTGACTGACTTTCTACCCCACTAGGACATCACACAAGCGATAAACACCCGATGTCACAAAGTGCCACCTTGTGGATGAGGATCGCCGTGGAGAGGTCCCAGAAACCGCTCTCAAACAATTAGCCATATTTATGGTCTGTCTATATTGCGGCCCCAGGCAAACAAAATCCAGGGTGGGGCTTCAAATAACAAAAAATTTCGTCCTAAAAAGGACGAAAAACTGGATATATAACCAGATGATGCTGAGGTTAAAAAAAAAAGTATGAAGGAGGTCATGCTGATGATGACGAAAGCTGTCAATTGTTTCTTCTTCTGTGTTCATCTGAGGATGTATATCTGCGTTCTGCCGGTTCACAGCATTTGCGCTTTTCGGCAGACACATCCAAGTTCTGCCGGCATCTGTTATTTTCTGACCGGCTTAGCTTTTCCAGTTGTCCTTTGTTTAAATGCAGACTTTGGATTCACTCACCTGATATCTTGGCCTACTTTAGGACACGTGAGAATCTTGATCTGAATTTCCGTGCTGCCATCCTTGGATGCTTCCACCAGTTCGGTGTCTTCAACTTGTACCACAGCATCAGCACCGGCAGGCACCGGTGCGCCCGTGTTGATGCGCACGCAAATGCCAGAAGTCACTGGCTGTTCAGGCTGTAGACATGAGACAGATAGGACAGGTCAAAAGAACTGGCAGTAAAGTTTGAAAAAAAAAATTATTTTCACAAACTCGGCATGTTGACGGAAAAGTTAGCAACCGCGGTACGACGGCAGGACGTTCGGAAAGGTTAACTGGCCGTGGCATCATGATTGTATAGTCGAGTCCACTTAAGTCGAACTCGGATAAGTCGAATTTCGGTTAAGTCGACATGACCAGCTTAGACCCAGCTTAGGAAATTCTCTCTATATTGTGTGCTGTCTGGATAAGTAGAAATCCTGATAAGTGGAAGCATTTTCTTAGGTCCCTGCGACTTCTACTTATCCAGACTCGACTGTATTCTACTGCCGGTCAGCAATGTGATTTCTATCGGAAATACGTCAGCTAAGTGATTTCCTGTATTCTTGTTCGTATTTGTGGTGTTTCAGATTTATGTACGTGATGACGAAGGCTCTCTGGTCGCAGTGTTCATTTGTCGTTTGTGTCTGTGACAATGTGAAGCTGACTGTTCTACTTTTCGCTGCTTGATATATTTTCAACAAATATGGGAGTGGCGAAGGTAAAGTTGGGAAGGTTAACAAACATAGTATGTTGGCGGGAAGGTTAGTAAACATAGCAGCAAAGTTGAAAAAAAAAAACTTTGCTAGGAAGTATAAAATTTACTAAAGATGAGATGTTAGCGGGAAAGTAAACAGCAAATGTTGCTATTAAGTGTAGAGCTTAGAAACAAATTACATTACCGGGAAAGTATAACGTGTTCGAGTGAAAACAGGTCAGAAAGCTCTCTCTCTCTCTCTCTCTCTCTCTCTCTCTCTCTCTCTCTCTCTCTCTCCCTCTGTGTGTGTGTGTATAGGTGTGTGTGTTTGAGTGTGTCTGTTTGAGTGTGTATGATTTTGTATACATGATGTGTGCATGCATTATTCTATAATGTATATATTTTTTTAAATTATAAACATAACATGCATTATTGATAACAGGCATTGATAGGTACTCTGCAAGATGAGTGCTAAGAAGGGCCGAATGCCAGACGGGCCTGCGTGCCCAATTTGTAACCCTTTGAAAATAAAGTGTGTTCATTCATTCGTTCGTTCGTTCTCTTTCTTCCTCTCTCTCTCTCTCTCTCTCTCTCTCTCTCTCTCTCTCTCTCTCTCTCTCTCTCTCTCTCTCCCACTGTTGTAGTCCTATCTGGGTGACGCATAAAATGTATATTAGCAGGAAAACGAGAGTCAGTCCATACGTATGAGGCATATTAAGTAGACCCAGAAGATATTTTTAACTAGGTGAGGATGTAACTGGTTCGTGAGTGAGAACGAGCGTTGGGTGTGACAAAGTGCAGTTAATTCTTGAAAACAGGTAGTTTGCAAATGTGAGGAGTGTGCCTGTGTTGTCAAGAAGAGTTGCTACGTCCAGTAGTTCATAGGGTAATTTTATGATGTAATATTCATTGTTACTTCTTAGGGTATTTTAGCTATGAGAACAGATTTTTGTCTAGGTGAGAATGCATTACTACGTTAGTAGAGAAGGTAAATCCAATTATGAGGCTTAATTGAATTCTGAGTTTTATTAAACCAGAGTAGAGAATTAGTAGTTAGTTGAGATTTTGTTTACCGTACAAGGCGGACGATTTCAGCGGGTTTGCCAACAGGCTGCGCGATCTCTCCTCTTTATGGGGGTGTTGTTTAAACTTTTCTCTTAGTGAGGAATTCTGCTTTACCGCATTTAGTGGGGAGCCATTTCATGTCTGTGGCAATCCCTCATGGTATGAGTAGATTGTCTGAAGTGTTTTATTTATTAAGATCGACAGTGAAGATAATAGAGACTTATTATCGTATATACACTATCACCAGCTTGTGACGTGTTACTTTATGTGAATGATATTAAAGTGTATGTGGCGTGACACATTCATTACTGTTGACTCTTCGCGATAGTCACAGTGTATTTACTGCTGCTGGGTCAAGTGTGCTGATGTATGCAGGACTGCAAGTATTAGCAGAACATCCATCGAGGAGAGAGATACACTGGCATATCAGCGTAGACACTCTAGACCTAGTTTCTTGATGGTTACTGATACTGAGAAGTATCAGTACAGAAAAATAAAAATCATATCAACTAATATCAACAAGTGCTCTGTATGCCATAGTCTACACCGGGGGATTAAAAGAGTACAACACTCACTCTTACGCATACAAATACACACCAAGCAGTGGAAGAGGTGTCGTCCCAATTTTACCCTATCTCCTTTGATGTTATAACATTAAAAGCTACATCCAAATTCGTGTATCTTACGACAGAAGAATGTATTCTTTTCTGCCGTGTATGAAGGGAAGAACTGTCTCTGTAGACTTGGAGAATATCGGTACTGACGTTAAGATGCATTTTCTAAAACCTGTGCGCTCTTTACATCAGCGGCCAGCTGGTTTTCCAACAATCCTAACCTGCACATGTGACCACTGTGCCAGCCATAAGGCTCTAACTCCTCAGGCTCAAAGACACATCAACTCCCCCTTTTTAAAAAAATTCTTTTTAGCCCCCCCCCCCCTTCCCCCCCCCCCTCCCTCTAACATTGGATCAAGAGTGAATGAGCTGAGCTGTTTCAAGAACCGACACCACAGCACTCGGGGCATTCCCGTCCCCATCTTCAGCAGCCAGCGAAGAGTTTCGATACTAATGGTGCCAGTAGCATTCTGATTAAACGTCCGTCTTGCCTTTCCTCTGAGCCTCGAGCATCTGCCAGAACCTCTGGTCATTCCCCCTGCAATAATCTCCCCAGACTGTGGTGATCCACCTGCTCCTCCGAACTGTACACGCTCTCCCACAAGGCACTAACCACGTCTGCCTTATCGTGCATCAGTATTCCAGACACAGAGTGAAGACTTTCCTCCACTGTCCCCTCACAGCTTGTATTTACCCATTTTAGCAGTGCAGGACAGGCGGGTCGTGAGCCTGAGGAGTCAATGCTGTTAGGTCAGTGTAGTCGCCACGAACTGTGCACGTTAGGATTTTTAACCTATCCCCCACCCACCGACAGGGGGGGGGGGGGATTACCATCCTTTACAAAGGATCAAACCCAATTCTCCAACAGCCTGGTGATCTAACCATAAGACCAACAGATCCGGTGGGGTTGGGGGGGGGGGGTGTGGGAGTTTGACTCATTGATCCTTTAATACACAGGTCGTAAGAGTCGACTTACTAAGGATATTTCCGCCTTGAGAGGCGAGGAAGCAACAATAAGCAGATCTTTGCATAGCTCAAGTTCTGAAACAAGACTAAAAATCCAGACGTGGACGAACAACTTTCATGCTGCATTTTACAACCAGTTACCGCGAAATAGAAGAATATTCACATTAACTTTAATAATGTCACTGTCAGACGGTTGGTAAGATGGTAACAAGTTTCCATGACTCCATGCTGCGTTCATCTAAACGTCATTCCTCCCGTCCAGCAAACAAACAACACAAAGAAGACGCCTATCGTGAAAACATCTGCACGTGTTTACATCTGCGTCGAGCTCAGTCTTCATCTAGTGCAATGGCTCTCAACCTTCCTACTGCCGCGAAACTTTCATACCGTTCCCGGTTATTTATACGATGGTCTCCCCATTTACACATCACCGGTTGTAGGTCAACTCCATTGATAAGTTGGTTAGACTAGTTTACCGTGGTCGAGGTTATGGGTGTCGCAGTCTGTTGTCTGGCATTTACGTTTTTATTTCCCAGAAAGAGACGGCATGTGGCATAGGTTTTGTCACTCTCTAGGGGGATTGTGTGTTAGACCCCGTATTTAAATGTTTTAGAAGTGTTAAAAGCTCTTGCATGGTAAAATATACAACACGCGCTATGAGCGCGAGTGCGGAATATCCCAGTGACTTTGTGTAAAAGTCAGATCGCTCATACCTATCAGACGTAAAATGGTAAGTAGGTCGTCCAATCAGAAGCGAACTAGTGTGTAAATGGGGAGACCAACGTAAAATTTACCCAGTTCCCTTATGTTGTGGCGACCCCCGAACAATTATTTTCCTTTATAACTTCAATGAATATGTGTTTTCCGGTGGTCTTTTGGCGACCCTTCTGAAAGGGTCGTTCGACCCACACACAAGAGGGTCGTGGCCGGCAGGCTGAGAACCGTTGACCTAGTGACTCTCACCCGCACAGTCTCCAGCCCAGTTAGATGGTCGGCAAGTGCCCTGTACTAAACTCCACATGCAGCGACGTTGGCTATTAGTTTTCCTCCAAATTAATTAGCTGCCCACTGGGAACACCCGTCTATCAGGGGTTGGCAAGTCTTCCTTCTGGCCAACTGTTGTTTGGATATTTATAACATGACTCGCTAGGCCATTCTCAATTATCAACTTAAAAAAAAAGCCTGCTGTATTTGATCAAACGTATAACTGTGGTTGCCCCATGAAATGATTTTTGTGGACATTATACAGATCTAGCTCTATATGCTAAAGCACTTAATGGCGCGGAAAGGGTTACTTTGCTTGTTAAGTGTCCCAGTAACAGATTACCGCTTACCTATATAGCTTATCCACACTTTACTACAGGTTACTCTGGTACACGAGAGGATATGGACTGCACAATAGCTTTCATAAAGGCTACCGGCCTCATGATATAAGTTTTCTGACAGAAGGATCGAAGAAGAAGAAGAAGAAGAAGAAGAAGAAGAAGAAGAAGAAGAAGAAGAAAAAGAAGAAGAAGAAGAAGAAGAAGAAGAAGAAGAAGAAGAAGAGAAGAAGAAGAAAGAAGAAGAAGAAGAAGAAGAAAGAAGAAGAAGAAAGAAGAAGAAGAAGAAGAAGAGAAGAAGAAGAAGAAGAAGAAGAAGAAGAAAGAAGAAGAAGAAGAAGAAGAAGAAGAATAAGAAGAAGAAGAAGAGAAGAAGAAGAAGAAGAAGAAGAAGAAGGAAGAAGAAGAAGAAGAAGAAGAAAAGAAGAAGAAGAAGAAGAAGAAGAAGAAGAAGAAGAAGAAGAAGAAGAAGAAGAAGAAGAAGAAGAAGAAGA